TCCTGGGCGGGGCTGCACTCTGCCTGAACTGACAAACCTGTTTTCTCTCTCCCCTCACGCCCTCCCCTCCCCTCTTACCTTGTGTGAGGTAAGCTGACTTCCTCTTCTGGGCAGTCCTGTCGTTCCCATGAGCCCCTGGGGTGGGCAGGTGCTGGGCCGGGCCCGGAGCTGTGGAGGGCAGAGGGGAGGCCGGCAGGCTGCCCTGACCTCCATGGGGTGGGGGTGGGGGTGCAGCCTGGGGTGCAGGTGGCCTTTGACCCTCCCCATGGGGGTCATCTGCTGACCTCACGGAGCCGGGAGCCCTGGGGGTGGGCCAGGCCAGGAGCGGCCCCAGAGGAGAGGTGCTCGGCTCTGGCCGCGGGCAGAGCAGGTCCTCCTTCCAGTGGAGGGCCGGAGGCTGCAGGCAGACAGGCACCTGGGTGGGGACGGCCCCCGTGGGCAGCCAGCAGCACCCCCACCCGCCTCGAACATCAGTGAGGAGGGGCGCCCTCCACACGGCTGGCGCCACCCTGCGTCCTCACCGGGCACCACCCTCCTCACTCTGCCGCCCACAGCCAGGGTCCCGGACCGGGCGGCACCTCGGTGCCCAGGCAGCCCCGCCTCTCTCGGGGAGCCCGGCACCGCGCGGGCCCGAGGCCAGGCAGGCCGGGGACGCTAGGGGCCCTCACGCAACCTTTCCTCCCGCAGCAGCCAAGAGCATGCTCAACAAGAAGACGGACGTGGTGAAGGTGAGCTGCGCCCCCAGCGCCCCGGGGAGGGCCCCCTTCCCCCCTGACGCCCCCCTGTCTCCGCTGCAGCCCCCGACCAACAGCACCAAGAACAGCGGCGCGGCCACCAGCCCGAAGGGGACGCTTCCCCCAGCCACCCTGGTACGGGCCCCACACCCCCTCCTGGCCACCCTCCTCCTGGCCCCCCCTCCTGGCCCCACAGCCCCCTCCTGGCCCCCCCCTCCTGGCCCCACACCCCCTCCTGGCCCACAGCCCCCTCCTGACCCCATCCCCCCTCCTGGCCCCACACCCCCTCCTGGCCCCACCTCCCCTCCTGACCCCATCCCCCCTCCTGGTCCCACAGCCCCTCCTGGCCCCAGGGCCCTGGCCATGGCAGCCCCCTGTCAGGAGGCCTGGGTCTCTGACAGATGACTCGGACCCCAGCCCTGGCTGCTCCTGGGGGGTGGGGTGAGGTGAGGGGTGAGGGGTGAGGCTACGCTGAGAGCCTTGCTCAGCAGCCAGACAGGCCAGCTCCGGCCTCCCAGATGGCTCCTGGTGAGAGGCCCGGGGACCCCGTGGTGCGGCTCTGAGGGGAGACGGTGGCTGCAGGGACCCGCCCAGCCCAGTGGGGACCCTGTGCCGTCTCACTTCTCCACCTTAATCTGCAGGGAGGCAGAGACCCGGGCTTCCTGTCAGTCACACTGCCGGCCTGTGGCTGCCCAGAGGGAGGGGAGGGGCTGGCTAACATGGGGACCCCCTGCTGGGGAGGGTCCTGGGCTCTAGGCCTCGCCTGGGGGTTCCTGTCCAGGGGACCCCACGGCAGGTGGTCAGGTTGTGGCCGTGGAAGTGGGGTTGCTGGTCTGCCTGTTCTCAGAGATGCCCACCTGACGCCAGGGAAGGCTGGGTTTGCCCAGGGCTATTGACCGGGACTTGGGGTCCAGGCCCAGCAGAGGAAGTCCGGTGTGGCCTCACAGCAGCCCGTTCTGGGCCCCTGCACCCCCATCCCCTGTCCCTAAACCCCCCCCTCCACCGCATCCGCGCCTCCTTCCCGCCAGGCTCCATGCCAGCCCCTCCCTGCAGCTCCTCCTGCCCTGCCAAGCTCTGCACTGCGGCCTGGGCATCGCGTCTGCCTCACGCCACCCAGCCCCGCTGTGCTGAGGCCCCTCTATCCCTGCCTTCCCCTCTGCCCCCAGCCCCTCCTCTCACTCCCTCCTTCCTTCCACTGTAGGAGCCTCAAACCACCGTCATCCATAACCCCGTGGACGGGATCAAGGTACCGCCCCACTCGGGAGCTTCTGTGGGGTCCGGAGGCAGACCCCGGCCCCTGAGGAGGGCTGGGCATTGACCCTGTGGGGGCAGGGGTCCCCAAACCCGTCCCAGGGCAGCACGGAGCCCCGCGTCCCTGGCTGCTCCTGCCGGGAAGGCCCCGGCTGCTGCCCGTGTGGCACCTTGCGCCCAGGGCCAGGCCCGGCTCCGTGATTGCGAGCGGGGCCTCTCAGACCTCCTGCTGCCTCCACAGTCCACTCTGCCCTGAGTGCAGGGCAGGGGGGGTCTGGGGCGCACAGACCAGTGACCTCACCCCCTTCACCTCGCTGCCAGAGCTTCCTGCCGGCTGGCCTCTCTCCCGTCCCACCCGCATCCGGGGGCGGGAGGCTGTGTGTGAGTCCTGGGCCCCCTGCTGGCCCACAGCTCGGAGCCACGTTTGCCAGGCGGGAGGGGGTCCCTCGGGGACCCTGTGGAGAGACCCCTTCTGGGGAGCCGGCTGCCTGGGAGCTGGTGACGGGCGGGTGGTAGCTGGTTTGTTATGTGAAGGGCGGCACCAGGCCATGGAGGGGGGCCGGGAGGAGGTGCCGGTGCCCCACCCTTGCCTGGGCCACGGGTTCCCTCCCGCTCTGGCTGCCTTCCTGGTCCCAGGACCCTCGGGACTAATAAGCCTGCTTCCCTCTCTGTCAGACGGCCAGGCGGTCTGCCCACCACGCACCGTGGCCGTGGGACGTGGGACTGGTCATACGAAGCTCCCCTGCCTGTGGGTTTGGGGCCGGTTGCCAGCAAAGGCTCCTCCCAGGCCCCTGACCCCCAGGCCCTGACCCCCCGGCCCTGACCCCCAAGCCCTGACCCCAGGCCCCTTGTGCAGCCGGGCAGTCAGTGCTGACCCTGCCTCCCATCTCCCCAGGACTCGTCCGACAGTGCCCACACCACCATCGAGGATGAGGACACGAAAGGTACGGGGCTCCCACGGCAGGACACGGGCAGGGCGAGGCAGGGAGCGGCAGGGTGCGGGCAGGGCGAGGCAGGGAGCGGCAGGGAGTGGCAGGGCACGGGCAGGGAGCGGCAGGGAGTGGCAGGGCACGGGCAGGGAGCGGCAGGGAGCGGGCAGGGCGTGGCAGGGCATGTCGGCGGCGGGTTCCCGGTCGGGGTCTGTGACTCAGGCGCCCCAGGGGCTGGCTGTCCTTGGCGACACTATCGGGCCCAGCCCGCAGGCCGGGCAGTCCAGGGGTGCCAGCCTCCAGCCACGCCTGCCGGGCGGCACCCTGACAGCAAGGAAGCTTCCGCCACCCTTCGCCCTCCCGCCTGCCCCCAACTCACCCCAGTCCCGGCGCTCAGTTTTCCAGGAGAAACGAGTTTACAGTTGAATTTGCTCCATTTCTTCAAGTTCCTTAAAGTCGTGACCATCTGGTGGGCAGCTGAGTGGACGAGCAGCGGGGTCTTGCCTGGGTTCCGTGCAATTCTGTGGTGCCAGGCCCCCCCTCCCACAAGGGGCTGTGGGCGCCCTGACAGACACCCCCCAGTGCCCTCAGGGCTGCCCAGGGCACCCTGGTGGAAGGCCAGGCCCACCCTGCATGGCGGCTGCCCACCACCCCACAGCCCAGTGCCGGGGCGGGGGGGGGGGGGAGCATGGGCCTGAGCAGGGAGACGCCCGTGTGTGTGTGTGTGTGTGTGTGTGTGTGTGTGTGTGTGTGTGTGTGTGGTTCCCAAACAGAGACAGGCTGGAGCCAGCAGCATGGAGGCCAGCCCCTGCCTGGCCTGTGAGGGCTCTGGTCCAGGCCTGAGGGGAAGGACAGCGGGGGCAGGGGGTCTGGCCGCTGCTTCCCGAATCGGACCCCAACCGTTGGCTGGGAGGGGTGGGAAGTGCCTGGCCTGTGCGGCTGGGCCCGCTCTGTGCGCTGAGGGCCTCATACACAGGAGCCCGAGTCCCCTGGCCCCCCTTGAGCCCCCCCTACCCCCCCAGCACATGCAGGCCCCGGGACCTCAACCCCTGCTGTGATGGGACAGCCCTGGACACTCCTGAGTCGGAGTTCTCCGGCTGCACCCCCACCACCTTTCTCCAGCCCCTTCTCTCTACAACCCCCTCCCCGCCTGCCTCTGGTCACGCCTGTGGTCCCTCCGGCTGGGTCCAGGCCAGGGCAGCCCCAGGGTGCTCCGTACAAGGGGAGGCCTCACCCTGCAGGGAGGGTGGAAGCGGACAGCAGAGGCCTCAGCCGCTGCCCCGGGAGGGAGGAGCGAGCGCTGGCCCGTCTGCCGACTGCCCGCCAGTATCGCTTACAGGGATGGATGACACCCCGGGCGGCAGCCACCCCCACCCGTGGGGAGGCTCCGGGCTCAGAGCGGAGGCAGCGGGGCAGGGGCCAGGCATGGCGGGGGAGTGGCTGGGTGAGTGGCCCCGGCCCACCCTGCGGGCCAAGCGGGGGGTCCGAGGCAGGCCGAGGGGACGGCTAAGCCATGGGTGGGAGAGGACTGGCGGGCGGTGGCAGACGGCTGGAGCCCTGTGGGCAGCCCTGCCAAGAGGGCTCTGTGCTTGGCTGGAGGGACCAGGGCCCGAGGGGGGCCCTGCCGCGTCTCGTCTGGTTCAGAGGCTCGGTGTCCCAGACCTGGACCCCTGCCTGAGGCTGGAGACCTGCAGGATGCTCCCAGGGCACCTGCAGGGACCAGCCCTACTGCCCTCCCCATGGGGCCAGGCAGTGGCCTGGTGGGCTCTGAGGACAGGCCTGCGTGGGGCTCTGCCTGCTAAGGGGTCCCCTCAGTGGTCTACACGGGTCTGTGAGCAGGACCAGATGGCAGGGGATGGGTCTGGAGCCAGCAGAGGTGACCTGGTCTGGGGGTGGGGGTGGGGTATTGGGGAACAGGGTGAGTCTTGCTCCTGGGATGTGCCCCACTCGAGTCCCTGGCACCCCCGCAACTTGAGTGCATGTGAGTGTGGGTGGGGAGGCCCCCAGGTGTCAGGAGGGGGTGGGGCAGCCTGGGGAAGGGACTGTTTGGGGTGAGGTCTGCTCCCCATGGGTCTGAGCGGTGAGCCAACTCCTGGCACCCCATCTCCAACGTGGGGAGGCCCAGCACGGAGGCCCAGGCACAGGGTGTCTTGGGAGGGAGGGGGGAGGGGGCGGGGGCGCCGTGGACCCCCCCTCTCTAAGTGCATGCCGCCAGCTGTCTCCGTGTGAGCTCGGAGCTCACTGGCCAGGCCGCATCTCCATAATCGGGATTATACACAATCCTGATCCTGCAGCTGTCTGCCTGGATGGCTGGGACCCCGCACCCCAGCAGACACCAAGGCACAGGGCTTGGTGCCAGCAAGGAGTCCCCGGGGTGCCCCCGGCCCTGGGCCAGTGGTGGGAGCAGTGCCTCCCCCCCACTCCCCGCCCCCTGAGCTGGTTCGTGTCCACAAGTTTATGCTGTGAGCTCGGGAATGTCCTGTTTATTTAATACTTTCTCTACACCAATCCCCATTTTAAATTACAATTGGTTTAAAGACATCCATTTCCCCCCTAGTGGAAGGTTGGGGTCACTCTCAGCAGCCAGTGACTGTGACCTCGGAATGTAGGGGAACCAGCAGGAAGAGGTCCCTCAGCTCCACTGGGGGGCTGTGGGCCGGGGCGCTGGGCGGGGCAGCTCCACTCTGAAAAGTAACGACGGCCCTGTCGGTCGGTCGGTCGGTCGGTCAGTCAGTCCATTGGTGGGAGGTGGGGCTCTGGGCGGGGGCCTGGACAGGAGGAGGCAAGAGCGGGCAGCGGTGGGAAGGACGTGGCCAGGCCTCCCTGGGAGGGGCGGGGGAGGGGGGCGCAGTGATGGGCTGCAGACGGGGACGCCTGAAGCTGGAAACGGCCTCACACAAGGGACAGATGACCTCAATGGGGTGGATGAGGTCCCAGAGCAGAAGGGATGCCCAGCATTGGGACTCTCCGAGGCCGAGGGCAGAGAGGTGGGCGGGCCACTGGGGACGCACCGGGACCTGAAGCATCGGCGGCGGCCTGCATGGGGGCTGGGGCCGGGGAGCCAGAGCCACAGCCCCTCCCGGAGGCCAGCAGGGACCAGACCTGCCGGGCAGACGAGGGGCAGGGCAGGAAAGCAGCACGGAGCAGCGGTGCTGTTTCGAGACGGGAGCCTGCACACGCTTGCAGGCTGTGCACACGCCCTCAGACACACACTTGCACCTGACATGCACATGCGTGTTCCGCCCCTCAGGTGTCCCAGACGCCTGGGCTCACACGCAGCATCTCCTGCCACGGACTCAGTCTCCCTCCAGGTGGGTTCCCGGGAGCGGGAGCGCCCAGGCAGCCCCAGGGGCAGCCGGCCTGGACCGTGGGTGCAGGCCTCTGAATGCCCAGTGCTGGGGGACCTGAGCCCATGGCAGCTTCAGAAGCCCACCCCGTGTGGCAGCCCTCAGCACCACGGTCCCTCGCTCTGCCGGGAGCGGAGGCTCGCACGCAGACATGCCTCGAACCGGGGCTCTGGGAGAGGCTGTGGGATCGAGCCATTGGGTTGTTGCTGTAAGGTCCCCGCTGTGTGCACGGTCTGTGCACGGACGCGATGCAGCACCTCCCCAGGGACAGGAGAACGGGACAGGATCCAAGGAACAGGGCCCTGCAGCCTCGTTTGTGTCTGTTCCTTTAAAAGCGTCTGGAGCCAATAGGACAGTGTCGATGTGAGCCCCCCGGAGTGGGCTGCGTTATCCTCTCTGCTGCTTCCACGTGTGGAAAACGTTTTGCACAAAAATAAACATACTTAGAGACAAAGGGCCCCGGGCAACCACCCTGAGGGCCAGGCCTGCCTAGGCCCAGGGGCCAAGTAGGCCGGAGCCTGGAGGATGGTGGAGGGTGTAGGACAGACGGGTGGTGTGCTGGCTGGCTCCTGGGCCCAGGACTGCAAGCAGGGAGAGCCAGAGGAGGCGGAGGCCAGCGCTTGGTTTGCTGCCTTCCAGGGAGAGGGCTGAGGCTAACACTTCGTCTCTGAGCTGCCCGGCCCTGGGCAGAGGCCTCCCGCCCCCAGCCTTCTCCCTGCTGTACCTGCCAGCCCTCCCTGGGCCCTGTCCCCGGAGGAGTTGGGTTTGGGAAGGACCTGTGGGCGAGCCAGGAAGGCAGACCAGAGCTGCAGAGGGCCAGACTGTGGTGGCTGTGGTGGGTGTCACCCCGTTTCTGCGTCTCCCGGACATGTTGTGCCGGAGAGAGAATGCTTTTACTCAGAAACGTCGTATTTATGGCAGCCGAGGAGCCAAGGTAGAAACTTGACTTGTGGGACCTATGCTGGCCTTGGGGCTGGCCTGGGCGGTGTGGGCCCAGGGCTTGGCCCGGAGAGGAGGGGAGAGGAGAGGAGGCGGGGCTGTGGGTCACTGCGCCTCTCCCCGCAGCGCGGAAGCAGGAGATCATCAAGGTCACGGAGCAGCTCATCGAGGCTGTAAACAGCGGGGACTTCGAGGCCTACGCGTGAGTCGGGGCCTGTGCGGCCCCTGGGGCAGCCTGGGGGATGGGTGGCTGCGTGCCCCCCAAGAGGGCGTCCAGCAGGAACTGGGCGGGTGCAGAGGGGGCCCTCCTCACCTGGGTCTGCCCCCCAGGAAAATCTGCGACCCAGGCCTGACCTCGTTTGAGCCTGAAGCATTGGGCAACCTGGTCGAAGGGATGGACTTCCACAGGTTCTACTTCGAGAACTGTGAGTGAGGGCGGGGGGGGGGGGGGGGGGGGGCTCGGGGGCCAGGGAGGCCCCTCCTGCCCAGGCCACGCAGTCGGGCCCCGGGCGGGGGGGAAGGCAGTGCCGGATGAGGGGCCGCGGGCTGATCCCAGCCCGTCCGCCCGCAGTGCTCGCCAAAAACAGCAAGCCGATCCACACGACCATCCTGAACCCGCACGTGCACGTCATCGGGGAGGACGCGGCCTGCATCGCCTACATCCGCCTCACGCAGTACATCGACGGCCAGGGCCGGCCCCGCACCAGCCAGTCCGAGGAGACCCGCGTGTGGCACCGCCGCGAGGGCAAGTGGCAGAACGTGCACTTCCACTGCTCAGGGGCGCCCGTGGCACCGCCGCAGTGAGGTGAGCGGCTGGCGGGCCTCGGCAGCGGGGGAGGGGGGGGGGGTCTCAGCAGGGGCCGGGCAGGCCTCGGGGCACGCGGCAGCTGACCCTCTGCCCTCCCCTTGCAGAGCCCGAGGGATCGTGTGTGGCGCCCGCCGCCCAGGCTCACGGCCTGCCTGTCGCATGTTTGTGTCTGCCTCTTCCTCCCCTGGTGCCTGTGTCTGCAGAAAACCAAGACCAGATGTGATTCCTTTTTAAAAACAAGATGACGGCAACCACCACAAAAAAAGAAAAATAAATAAATGTCGGATGAAATGTGAAAAAAAAAAAAAACTTAACAAAGGAAACGCTGTAAAAATGACTGGCGCTGGTGGGGCTTGGACCTGCCGGCCACTCTGCACCCGAGCTCTGCTGTCGGCCGCTCCAGGCTCGGCCGGGCGCACTTGTCCAGCCTGTCGCCCTCACGTGTGTGTTCGCTGGGACCCGCCCACGCTGCTCGCTGCTCGCGGTGGGTAGTGCTGGGTGTCATCTAGGGGCTGCGGGCCTGAGTGCAGTTGTTCCCTCTGCTTCGCTCCCTTCCTCTACCCCCTCCCCCGAAGGTGGGTGTGGGCTCCTCCCGTGCCAGCGCCTGGTGCCGATGCCCCGGCGTGGATGGGCAGTGCAGAGGCCAGGCCACCCAGGGAGGATGCCTGGAGAAGCTCTGAGGGCCCAGGCTGGCTCTGCTCTGCCCCCACCCCCTCCAGGGGCTGAAAGTGCTTCAGACTCAGGGGCAGCAGCCCTGGGGGGAGGGGACTCTTGGGCTGGCCTCCCTCCTGTTCGTGGGGTGTGCCTCTGACACAGAGGAACGTGGGCTCAGGGTTTGGTCCTGATGCAGGAAGGAGGGGTCAGAGGCGGCGGGGCTCCCTGGGCTCCAGGCCGCTGCAGGGTCCAGGCTGGAGGCAGCTGCTTTGGGGGAGTGCAGGGCAGGCCAGCCACTCACCAGGCTTCAGGGGACACTGACGGGGACCCTGAGTGGGAGGAGGGGGCTGGGCTCACTTCCGGGAGGCTCAGGGACGGCCTTGTGGTCAGATGGAGGCGGCAGAGAGCAGCCAGGGTTGGGGGCAGGTCCAACCAGGCCTGGTCACAGAGACTGGGCTCCTCCTGCCCAGCACCAGGCACTCTTCAATTCACATTGTTTTCAACAAAGATTTTCTTTATCTTCCTCCCAACACCAACCCCAGGGAGGCGCATAGGATGGGGAACAGGACATAGGACTTGATCTCCACGGAGACTGTCTATGCCACTCAGAGTGGACACTCACCTGCCTGCCCACAGCTCTGCTCAGGACAGCTGTCCCTGCCGTGGGTATGGCGGGGAGTGGCAGGGCTCGCTTCTGACAGCGGCAGCGTGTGCCCGGCCACTCGCCTCCTGGGGCCTCCTCCCGCCTCTTCTCCGTGGAGCTGCCTGTCCGGGTTAATTTGGGACTTTTTCTGGGGGATAGTTCTTTTGCATGACCCCACAAGCAAGCCACACCCGCCCTTCCAGCTCGATGTCCATGGTGTGGCCGCGCTGGCCCGCCCTGCAGGGGTCGGCTTTCCTCTCTCCCTTTTTGCTGAGTTTCGTTGTCTTTCTTTCTGAGCCTTGTAAGTGTACAAAAAACTATTTTGTTCTGTCTCGGGAAACTGCAAATAAAAGGAAAACAGGACAAACTGCTTCATGTGCAGCTTGGTGCTTTTTGCTGGGACCCCACCACTCCTCACCCAGCCCCTTCCGTGGGGCCCCACTGGGCCTGGCTGGAGAGGCCAAGTCCAGACCTTCCTGAGCCTGGCCGGGTCCCTCTGTGTAGCCACAGGTCATAGCTCCAATACCTGACCCCCCACACACAGGACCCTCCCCAACCTCTCTAGTCGTCACCCCAGTGGCGTCTGGGCAGGGAGGAGCCGCAGGGCCAGGCTCCACTGACCTACTGAGTCGTTCCCTCCATCAGCCACCTCGCCGGTGTGGTTTGCTGACCGCCGGCCACTGGCTAGGGCATGTGGTGTCCATGGCCATGCTGCCTGCTTCGGGAGCCCACACCCTGGGTTGTGCGGACAGCACTTGGGCCTGCTTGGTTCAAACACCCCCATCGCCCATGCACACGGTGGCTGCTGGGAGGTAAAGATGAAACAGCAGGCGAGGACAGCAGGGACAGGCAGGCTTCTCAAGGTCCAAATGGCCAGAGCCCCCAGCAGGATCCGGGACAGGCTGCCAGGTGCTGAGCCTAAGGTGCCCAGATGGAAGGAGAGAGGAAGGACTGAAGTGGCAGGGCTGGGAGCTCCCAGCAAGCTCCCTCTGCAGTGGCCCCAGCATAATATCCTGGGACACCCCCAGGCCTCTCTGCCCACCCTCTGCGCCTGGTCCCGGCCCTCAGGGGAAGGTGTCACCTAATGCATCCTGCAAGGATACGAAGCCTGCCGTGCCTCCCTCGGTAACAACTACCCTGGCCCGTGAGGCATTGGCACTGACCGCATGGCTGCTGACCTGACCGACCACCGGTTCCTAAGGCCATCTGAGCACACGGCCGCCCTCGGCCCAGCTGCAGGCCTTTCCCTCCTCCCTCACAGACATGCTCACGTAGAGGCAGTGGCCTCCCTCACCCCTGACCCCAGGCCTTGCTGCTGCCTGTCTCTACCTGTGCCGCATGCTTTCCTGGGACAGAAATGGGGCTTCAAAACCACCCTCGACCTCAGTGCCCACATGAGCCTGTGGCTGAGAATGCAGGGACCCAAGGGCCATCTCAGCCACCTCCTCCAGCTACCCCCCAGGCGATGCCTCGCCAGGCCCTTGGCATAAGTGTCAGTGCCATGGGCTCCCCCAGCAGCACTCGGGGACCTGAGCGGGTAGAGAATGTAGGCCAGAGCCAGAGCGGTGCCGGGTGGTGTCTCCTAGACCCAGGCCTATCGGCTGTAATCAGAGGAGCCTTCCGCCCGGCCCCCCAGTTCCTGCCTGAGCTGCACATGGCATCCCAGCCCGCCGGCAGGCCTGGGGCAGGGCGGGCACACAGCGAAGGGAGGTCAGGAGGCCCTTATTGTCTCACCTGCTTTGAGCACCCCCCTCCCCTCGGGCCACAGCAGGAAGGGGCTGGGCTGCTGTGGATTTGGATCGTCAAGCACAGCTGAGCACAGGGTCCTGGGCCGGCCAGACCAGCTGCTGAGACCATGCCCTACACTAGGGCCAGGTTGGCTCCCCAGCCCACAAGGACGTCCTAACACTTGCAGGGTCTGCTCTGCTCGCTCCCCTGCCTGGCTCCTGCCAGGTCTGAGAAAAATACAGCCTGAGCCTGGGGCTAAGGCAGATGCCACCTCCCTGCCCCCATCCCTGCTTGCAGGCCTGGCCCTGCCCTCCCCCTTCACAGCAGAGAACAGAGGGTACACCGCACAGAGGACACAGTGAGGAAGGGCCTCATACCACCCTCCGCCCCCCCCAGGTTCAAACAGCACAGGACCATTTTCGGAATTTCAAAAGACAACTTTATCCAGATAGGAATCTCTCAAACAACACAGGAAAAGTTAGGCAGCGATTAAAATACACTCTTAGCCGATGACGTGAACAGGGAGCACACGGCACAGGGCCTCCGCCAGCTACCCTCCGTCTTCCCAAATCCACCCACGCCCAGGTCCTCACCATCATCCACAACCCAACTGTCCTAAGTGGAGTCACAGCCACCTCCGGGGCCATGAATAGGATGGGCCTGCACCCCAAGGCGGGTCCAGCAGGGGTCACATAGGCCAGCAGTACCTGGGAAAAGGCAGCCGGCAGGTGAACCTGTTGGGACAGGCGCTCAGAAGCCACACAGATCCCATTCTCTGGCCCAAGTGAGATTTGGGGGTGAGTAGAACCTTCGGGCTGGCCAAGAACCAGGGCCCAAGGACGGACCCCGGGTGAGACCACACTGGCTGACACCACCCCAGCACAGGCACCTCGCCCGCAGGTGGCACGCAGAGCAAGGGGGCAGTGTGGACAGGCAGCATGACCCAGGACCAGACAGGCCGAGGGCCGGCCCTACTGGGCCATCGCCTGGGCTGCTGTGTGGCCTGGTTTCCTGCTGCTGAGGGTCAGGAAGGATGGGGAGGCGGGGGTCAGGAAGGATGGGGGCTGCACACTCAGACAAATGGGGTACTGGGTCCTTGGTTGGCTGGCATCTGTTCTTGATGCCCAGTAACAGTGGCCACAGGAAGGCTGCTTGCTAAGACACGCAGGCCCAGGTGGCTGCCAAAAGTTTTGCTGCCAGAGGCTTGTGCCTAGGATCCAGGTTCAAGGCCAAACTACAGGTCAGACAGGTGCCCCGCCCCTTCCACCACCTCCATGGCGTCAGCAGAAATCAGTCTCAGCAGAAATGCAAACCGTGGTTCAGAACCTGTGAATCCCAGGGGCTGTCTCCTCATGGCCCTGCTTTTCCCCAACCCCGTGACCTGGACGCCTTTCCCAGGAGAACCCGGTGCGCGTTCTGCCACTCCTAGCCCTGTGGATTGAGAACCCCCACACTGAAGCGTTAACACAGTTGATGTGCAAGTAAAACCCAAAGGCTGCTGAGGACCAAAACAGACAGGTTAGACTAGAGCCCTTGGGCATCTGCAGGAGTCATGGAGTGTTTATAGTTTCATTTGGCCCAAAAATACCTCTGAGAACCTCCAATTATCTTTTCAAAATTACCAGAAACATGAATTTGAACATTCCCCATCCCAGGTCCCTTCCGCTGCCTCGGCGCTTCCAGGAGCTCCAGTGAACAGTGACCGAGCTCTGGTCTGGCCGTGGCCGAGGCATCTCCGGAAGCCACGGTTCTGATGGAATGACGGGGACTGCAGCAAGGGGGCCCTGGGGGCGACGGTCACATGACTGCACAGCACGAGTTTTGCTTCCGGGCCTAGAAAGAGACAGAGGAGCAGAAGTGGGGCTGAGAAGCAGTCTGGGCACACAAAGGGAGGAAGCCCTGAGCACTGAGGGGAAAGGACTGGAAGTACCCATCCTTGCTGCCTTCCGGCAGCTGAAAACAGGTCACAACCACGTCCTCCTCACCTGCCCTGCCACCAGGAAGGCGCCCGACACAAAAATGGGCATGGGCACTGGCTGGCTGAAGATCCCTTTGCCCACCCTCGACCCAACAAGGCTGGCACCTCTGATGTTTCTCTAGACAACAGAGTGGCTCCCCCTTAGGTCCTGGGCCCTTGAAAGCTCCTCTTGCTTCCTATTCAGATACCCCAAAGACACACAAAAGCAATGGTGTGTGGAGAACAAGCGAACTCGCCCCACTACTCAGATTCTGTGCAAGGAACCTGCGAACAGGCAGCGTCAGAACCTGGGGGAGCTGCACCCCACAGCTCAGCCGACAGCAGGCAAGGGTGAGCCTAGGCTCAGAGCCTACACCCGCCTTCGCCTCCTGCAGGGCAGCCCGAAGAGGGGACAGGCCCGGCTGGCTCACTGCCGCAGCACCCAAGCGACAAGGGTGTGCTGCTCCTGCTCGTGGCGAGGGCCCAGGACGCCAGTGCTCACGGTTTTGTAGAAGGCTTTAGAGTGAATTCCCAGCACTTCGGATTTGGACACCAGGTCGTCGATCTTCTCGCCTCGCTCTAACAGGGACTCCATGGTGTTGTGCTGCAGGAGGAACAGAAGGGAGGCTCTGACAGTTCACCAGGAGTGGCCACAGCCCTCATCCAGCCCCTCAGGGCAAGCATGTCCCCTAAGCCCTCCTCCACAGGAGCACCCAGCACATGTCTGACATGGGCATGCACCAGGACCCGTGACCTTCCTGTGGTCTACTAGTGCAGAGAGCATGTCCCAGTTCTGCACGACACAGGCGTGGACAGCCATACAGGCAGAGGTCGCTAGTGCATCTACATGGACTCCCATTGGACAGGGCACGTCCAGATTCCCTGGAGGGGGCTAGAAGTTCACAGACTCTCTCCAAGGGGAAAAAGGGCCACAGCCCCGCTGCCCACTCACATCCGCCCCGCTCAGTCTTCCCCAGTCCCACGGCCATTGCCAGAGCAGCCGCCAGGACCACTGGGCCCGGTTTCACACGTGTGAAAAGGTACAGAGTGAGGAAGGAGCGGAAAGTTCCCACCTCCACATGGGCCTCGTCACTCGGATTCCCATCACCCAAGTTAACTGGATTGCCCAACTGGCATGGCTCCATGGTTGAGTGACGGTCTATGAACCAGGAGGTCACGGTTCAAGTCCTGGTCAGAGCACATGTCTAGGTTGTGGGCTCGATCCCCAGGGTGGGGCATGCATGGGGCAACCAATCAATGATTCTCTCATCATTGATATTTGTCTTTCTTCCCCTCTCCTTTCCTCTCCCAAATAAAAAAAATATATATTTTTTTAAAAAGTTAACTGGATTAAGGTCCAGATGAAAGTAAGGCAGTGTGGCCCTTTACCCAGGTCCCCACAGCCCTCATCTCTGATTTCCTTACCAGAATGATCTTGGTCTCATCAAGTTCAGCCTGCACTTTACTCATGGGGTCAGCTTCTCGGGGATTCTAAGGAAGAGCCGAGAATAAAAACGATGTCAGGACTGGAGTGACCACCTAGAATCAAAGCTCAAAACCCATCCAGCTGGACACACGTCTACAGGCTACTTGAGCCTCGGCAGCAATGGCAGCAATAGCCTGCTGGGCCCCCAGGTTCCAGGCCCTCTCGTAGCCCCCGAGACGCCCAGGGACCGACATCAAGGCTGTCGGGAAGTCACCGCACCCAGCTGTCAGGCTGGGAGGTTCCTGGGGCTCCGGGATCTACCTGGTAGGTACTAAGGTAGCCATCCAGGGCTGTGTAGTGGATGTTAGCAGAAGATCCGACTGGCCAGTGGATCCTCTCCACCTGCTTGGAGAAATCGTCCAGCACCTGCAAGACAAAGTTGCTCAGCAACACTTCTGTGCTCACCGTGCCCACAGCAACGGGACTGGGCCCAAGAGGCTCTCTGGCTCCCGGGAGGGCAGAGGCAAACAGCCAACGGCAAGGGTAAGTCCAGGCGCAAGTTCCTCCGCCTCAAGTCCTCTGGGCATTCACATCCAAGTGTCTATTTGTGGGTGAAGGACAGGTATACTCCAAGGGGCTGTTGTGGACTGCCAGACCGGGCTCCCCAGACTGGCAGCCTCCCTGCTGCTGAAATCTCTCCTGGAGCAGCCAGCTCTGCCGCAGGGGGCCATCTTGAAGGGGAGAGTGGCTGTGAGCGGAAGCCTAGTCTGACCTTTAGTCAGGAAGAACTGGATACCTCCCGGGCCCTACAACCACTACACGCAGGGACCAGCTGCAAACCACAAACACTGGGTCTCAAGCAGCACAGATATGCGGACTTGGACGAGCTCTGCACCTTTTCACGGAACGGTCCGATTTCAATGGGAGGAAAAAGGAGACATACGTACTACTGTTTGTAATACTTTAAACAATAAAAAAAGTATTAGAATTTTATTTTATTTATTTTTTAAAGCACATGTGGCCTATTTTAAAATTTTTTTTTTAAATATATTTTATTGATTTTTTACAGAGAGGAAGGGAGAGAGACAGAGATCCAGAATCATCGATGAGAGAGAAACATCGACCAGCCGCCTCCTGCACATCCCCTACCGGGGATGTGCCCGCAGCCAACATACATGCCCTTGACCGGAATCGAACCCAGGACCCCTCAGTCCGCAGACCAACGCTCTACCACTGAGCCAAACCGGTTTTGGATAAAAAAAATATTAGAATTTTAAACTGCAGATTCCATTTTTGCCAGGTTATGAATTTCCAGGAATCAGGGAAAATTAGTCTTCTAATTTTCCAACCAATTCTTCAAAAAGGAAAGATTTAAGCCACCACCAAATTTCATGTGCTCCTAAGTGTATCAGTCCTCTGGGGACAAGACACGGCAGTGCCCTCGAGGAGTCCATAATCAGCCTGTGTGAGGAAACTGAAGAACACATGGTGCTGAGTCCACACCGGGGAAGGGGTGCAGGGGTGGCTCAGTGGAGGGGAGGCAGGGATGGAGCTGGTGACACAGGCGAGAGCACAGCCATAGCTGACCCAAGGGCTCCGTCCCAGAGAAGAGAGGCGGAGACTGTGGGCAGCCTGGGGCATGAGCCTGGCATAGGGCAAAAATCGGTGCCATGGAGGAGCCTGGGGAGGGCAAGGGGAACGCTGACCACGGCTGACTGTGGACACACCACTACACCCTGAGGTCTCGGGCACTGTGATCACTCAAATCCAGTCCAGCCAAGTACATACTCACCTTCTCCAGCAAGGTGAAAGCCACCCGGGACGGGTACTCGCTGTCAGCAATGACCACGCCCGCAAGGCTGTCGTTCCGCACGTAGACGTGGCACAGGTATTCTACGGAGACACACACAGAACAGGAGGGCCTTAGACTCCACCCCAAGCCGTCAACCCGTCTCCTGCTGGGCTCCTGCCTTTGGATCAGCGAAGCCGCTCTGCAGACCAGGCTAATGATTCGCACACAGGACTAGAAGCACACGGGACAGGACACACGCATACACAGCTCACGGGAGCACAGCCATCAGCACAGCCCCGAGGCCCAGTGTGCTAAACCAGGGTCTGAGGCCACCATTCCAGGCACAACTTGAGCTCCAGGCCCAGCCTGGCAGTGTCTCGGGGAGAGGCAGCCCCCTAAGGCTCTGCTCCGAACTGAGGGAACCCTGGACAAGCAACACAGCCTCACGTGGTTTAAAAAGCCTGTAAGAGTGGCCCCAGTCAGGAAATCAGCTCTCTGCTCCTGTCCGGCCAGCTCCATTCTGGGGAGGGAGGGAGGGAGGGAGGGAGCGAGAAGAGGGTCCACGCAGGCTGGGGTCTCCAGGGAACTGTGAGTGTCCAAGTAGCAATAGGCCAGCCTGGAGAGTGCTCAGCTGATATTCACAACCCACAGAATTAACGCCTGTCACTCGGGAGGTCTGCAGCTGACAAGGAAGAACCTTCTTGTCTCTAAGACTCTCAGCCAAGAGACTAGAACTAAACAAGGAGAACAAATTAAAGAGGCGAGGGGAGCCATGAGCCCCGAAATCAGAAACAGGCAGAGATGAGCCACCGCAGGGATGAGGGACAGGAGCTCACTCCCACACGCTCTAGCCAGCCAGCCCAAGAAAAAGACTCAAATATGGGGACAAGAACCCACCACAGAGAAGTGGGGCCAGGGTCTGAGAAGGCCAAGTTCCCCCCGAGGGGGTTGAGAATATTCAAATGCCCAGGATCCAACTGCACCGCCTGAGGTGAGCACACAGGGTCCCACAGAACACAGCCCTGGACACCACCTGCACTGTCACTCTGGACAGAGCACCCATACCTGGGACCCACAGTCCCAGCATCATGCAACAGCCCTTACTTTTGCTGGAAGTTTGCACACCCCTCCGGACGTGCCTGCAGACACTCACCCCCTGTCCACATCTAAGTACACAGGAGGCAGCAGCCCTGGACAGGGCAGGCGGGAAACTCCTTCCATTGTTCTGGAAGAGGCGTCGCTACTGCTCCAAGACACAGGCCCTAATCGGAAGCACGTCCCAGCTCTGGGGCTAACTTTACCCAGGCAGCGAGTCGCCTACACAGGGCACAGAACCGTGTGCAGGAGGAAGAGGAGGAGGAGGAGGGAAGAGAGGTCAGATTGGCGAGTGGGTCCTGGCAGCCTCACCTCCTCGAGGTGACATGCATGCTCAGCTCAGGCTGCCTGCGGCACGGCGGCCAGGCCAGCACACACGCATGGGAGGGTCCTCTTACCTTGCTCCTTGACGGAAGCTCTGTTGCCTTTGGCCGAGCGCTCCACAATCAGCTGGCTGGTGAAGGTCATGAATTCCTGAACACTAAGAAACAACACACATTACTACTCCCGTCACCTTGTCCCAGGAGACATTGCTCCTTGGTTTCTTTCTCCCCCGCAACCTCACACAAATAATAAACTCTGCAAACAAACAGGTCCAGAGTGTACAAATCATCACAGCCATTCACACTATCTCTGCTCGCTCCCCAGCTCACCTCCACAGCCCGTCCAGAATGGTGGGCTGTGGTCAATTTCACACCTGGTCAGAGCATGACCTAGGACACGGGAGCTAAGCAGAAGCCAGTGCCTGTTCTCCAGGCCCTACTCACTTCCAGGAAGAGGACAAACAGAGCCTGTTCTGGGAAAACACAAGTGGCCAGAACTGCTTGGCAGGTTCACAGCCAACATGGCCGTGGCAAACGGCTGGACCAAAGACTTAGGAGGAGGGGGAGCTTGTCGAGGGCCACACAATGAGTTTTGGCCAATGACGATGACAGACTGCAGATCCAACAGTGGTCCAAGAACCTCCAGGAAAGTTCCCAGTGAAGGGCTTAGCGGAAGCACTTGCAGGGCTCAACAAGCTCCTTTAAAAGTTGGGAAACAGCCTGGCTGGCGTGGCTGTTTTGACTAGGAGGTGATGGTTAAATTCCTGGTCAGGGCACATGCCTGGGTTGCAGGCTTGATCCCCAGTAGAGAGTGTGCAGGAGGTAGCCGATCGATTATTCCCTCTCATCACTGATGTTCTCTCTGTCTCTTCCCCTCCACTCTCTCTGAAAATCAATGGGAAACTATCCTCAGCTGAGATTTAAAAAGTTTAAGTTTATAAAGTGAAAATGTTATAATAAACTAAGGTTAATGTGTCACTGAAGAAAAAAAATAATGCAAGCTGGTGTAGCCTTGGTGTCCAGGTTATAAAGTCCACAGCCGTGTCCAGTCATGTCCTTGGCCCTCACCTTCACTCACTACTCACCCCACCACACCCAGAGCAACGTCCAGTCCTGCAGCTCCACTCCTGGTGAGAGCGTGCACAGGGTGCTTTCCCTCTGAGACTGTTTTCACTGCACCTTTTCATACCTCGCTCGTCAGATGCACACACACCACTGTTCCAATGGCCTCAGTACCCAGCAGAGTAACAGGCTGTGCTGTGCCAGGTGAGCAGTGGGCTGCACCATCCAGGTGTAAGCACACCCTGTATGTTTGCACGACAACATCACGTAATGACACGCTTCTCAACGTATCCCTGTTGTTAGGTGACACATGACTGCAATCCCTCAAATGAAGTCTCCAAATAAGAATTCTCATGGTGAGACCACAGACAGCACTTAGAGCAGGACTGTACTTAAACGAGGCAAAACTGTTTCCATTGTGAAAGCCTGCATACAAGGGCCAGACAAACTGGGAAATGGCCCTGGCTGGATTTGCTCAGTGGTTAGAGCGTCGGCCTGCAGACCAAAGGGTCTCAGGTTTGATTTCCGTCAAGGGCACGTACCTTGGCTGCAGGTTCCCCCGCCCTATCGGGGGCTCATTTGGGAGGCAACCAATCCATGTTTCTCTCCCTCTAACCCTTCTACTGTCTAGAAATCAATGGAATAGTATCCTCAGATGAGGATTAAAAAAAAAAAAAGGCTGAGAAACTATTAGAAGGTTTCAGGCTTGGGGTCTGGCCATTGTGAGACGGGAAGGACGAAGAGAGGGGCCTCAGGAGAAAAACAGAGTCCAGCTGGCACATGTGCTGTCCCTGGAAATACCCCTGCAGTTCTGCTGTTGGGATTACCACCTGAATGGGTGTGGGCACCCCAAGCTCCCGGGTCAGTCCTACCCGGGAACCTGGGACCCTTCAGTGTTCACTGCAGGGAAGCAGCATGGTGTGTGCCAGGCTGGTACAGACACAGAGAAGCGGCCGCACAGAGACGAGACCACAGACTGACCCAAAGAAAAACAAGTGTCAGTAAAATGACAGAAATTGTTTTAGATCCTGGCATTCTGCCAGCAAGCCACTCTCAAGAGCCAACAGCTCCGCCAAAGCAGCAGACACAGACTCCAGCTGGCAGAAGGCACCAGGCCGCACACACCACAGGCAGACTCTGGGGTCCCTCTCCTCCTGTGCCCGGATGGGCTGGAAGTCGGTCACACTTCCAATACCACCTTTTGGCAATAAGCGCCCCAGAACCCTCCAAAGCCCACTAGTCCCCTGCTTCCTTCCAGGCCCTCAGTGAGAACCCTTTCGTACCAGGGGCCCACAATTTGGGTCCGAGTCCCGGCGGGCCGGTTTCGTGGGGCCTCACGGACTTCATCCGTGGGAGGAGGAGCCCGCCCGCACCTCCCCCCACTGGCTGGGGTTCACGGGTCCCAAAGACGTGGCGGGTGGGGCCTGGCGGCCCGGGGCCTGGACCAGAACCACCGAGATTCCCGGGCCTCGGCCTTCTAGTCAGACACGCAGACGTGCACCCGGGGAGCTGCCTTTTATAATTGTCACTGGGCGGCAATCTGGAAAACACCGAGTTCCGGAGTGTTTTCTACAACTGCCTCTGTCCAGCGAGAGGCTGAGGGCTCGGAACGGTCTGCGGAGCAGGGAGGAGCCACGCCCGGCTCGGCCCGGACCCCCGCCGCCCATCCCGCCCCCGCCGCCGGCCCGCCCACCTGGTCCTCTGGAAGAAGCTGAAGGACGACACGTCGTAGGCGGCGCTGAGCAGCACGGCCTTGGGGTCGCCTTTGTACAGGACGCTCAGGCTGAACAGCTTCATGGCGCCGCCGGGCGCCCGCCGCCCGCCCCCCCGACCGGCGAGCAGCGAGCAGCGCGGCCGCCGCCCCTCGAGACCGCCGGCTGCTGACGGGCCGACGCGGCTTCCTCCTCCCGGCTCGGGTCCACTTCCGGTTCCGGTCAGGGCCGCCACCGGCGGAAACACGCAGGCAAGGGGCGGGGCGTGTGCGCACGCGCGTGAGCCCGGCCCCGCCCCACCCCGCGGGGCTGTCCCCCCGGGTCCCCCCCAGCCGCCCGCGCCCCAGGGCTGTCCAGTCCGGGCGATCCTTCCCCGGTGGCTGAGGCGCTGCTCCGCCCGGGAGGCGGAGGCGGAGGCGGCAGTGCCGTGCGCCCTGGGTGACGACACACGCTCACCCCCTGCGATGAGGGGACCCAGGGATTCCGCGCAGCTTTCACACCTGGTCTCCGAGGCCTTGGGTCCGGGATGCAGGCTGCGGGGAAGCGACGTCCACGTCTGCGTGCTGAGCCCGGGAGTCTGGCTCCTCTGCCCCGAGCGGAGCAGCTGCCCGGGCGTGACATGACTTGACGCGGGCCCGGCCTCGGGTCCTCCCCTGGGCAGGCCGCAGGACAATCCTCAGGCCGCAGGACAATGGCCACGAAGGCAGCTCAGAGCTCAGGCGCTGGGGCACGGGCTGCCCACTCCCTCTCCTCGGAGGGCCTCTGCCCATGAGGGTGCGGCCCTGCCTGGGCAACTGAACAGGTGGCCACGTCTGGTGACAAGGCCCTTGGGCTGTTGCTATGGTGATGGGGATGGAGGCCTTTTGCCTTCAGCCCCAGTTTTCTGCATGGCAGCTCTAATGACCGCAGACAGCCTTGCGGAGGCCCTGCTCCTGGTTGCCATGGCAGTACAGGCCTTTTCCAGAGCAGGAGGGGCCCCCCCACCCCTTTAGGAGAATTCCCCACCGTACACCTGGTCACCGCACACACCTGGTCACTGCACACCTGGTCGCAGCAGGAAGTGTTGAGTGGCAGCTGAGCTCCGGGAAGCAGGTTAGGGTGTGAGAGAAACAGTCACCTTCAGCCTAATTACTCAAACGCTGTCCCCAGCACGGAGGGGACAAGAGCTTTTCTGCTGAGTTGGCCTGGAGGCTGACAGCTCGGTGCAGCCTGAGAGAGCCGAGCAGCCAAACCCGGCGATGGCCCTGCCGCGGCCACACCCGGCCTGACCAGGCCTCTGTGGGGAAGGGTCCCAGGTGTGGCCCTGAACACCAGGCTCGTGGGCTTTCTGGGAACAATGAAAAGGAGGAAACTGTGACTGGAGCTCCAGCCGGAACCCAGCCGAAGGGGGACCATAGTTGCCCAGGAGCCCAGGCCAGCCAGCCCCTGGTGGGAGAAGCTTCGGACAGTCCGTTTCCGGAAACCTGTTGGGAGTGGCGGAGGGGTCCCAGCCCCCAGGAGTGGGCTGCGGCGCCGATGCCGGATGACGGTGCTGGGATGGAGACTGCCAAGAAGGAAAAGGTAGCTCTGCCGCCTCTGGCTCTGGAAGCTTCTGTCCAGGGTCCCCGCACCCAGGGGTGGGTTTAGCTCGGACACACGCCTGCCGCTCAGAGACTGACTGGTGCTCAGGCTCCTTAGGGAAGCCCTGCTGGGAGGGAGTCCCCTGCTGGGAGGGGTTTGGGTGCCCGCTGTGCTGGCAGAAAGACCTTCCTCCCAGCAGACCAGGCCCCTCCCTGCCTCAGACCCCAGCCCATGGCCTGGAAGGTGGGTGGCCAGGAGATCCGGGAAGTGACTGATGTTGGCTGGAGGTTTGGGGAGTTTAGAGCCTGGGGTCTCAGACCTGGGACAATGCTCAGCAGACACCATGACAGGTCTCTGGTGCCCACACTCCTCATCCTCCAAGGAATCGCTTCCTGGGGAGCCTGAGGGCCGTTTGCGCCCCCGGAGGAGCGGAGATCAGTTGCTTTTTCCAAAACAGAGAGATCCGGACCACATAGTGAGCAAGGACAAGGGCAGGCCCCAGGGCGAGGGGCCGGCTGGGGTGCAGTGGGGCCCGGGAGAGGCCTGGGCCTTCCCTGCGACATGATTCTCACCTCACACACCTCCTCCTCCTACGAAACAACAAGGTCAGCACAAACAGCACTGCTTCTGCTGCTGGCAGAGCTGATGATGTCAGGAGAAAACCGCCAGCCCAGGCAGGCAGGGTTCGGAGACAGCCCGGCGGCCACCTGAGGAGGAATGGGGATGGGTGTCTGTGACGAGCAGAGATGGTGGGGCAGCATGTGAGGGGCCGTGGCTGCCGTGGGGAACCCATTCTCAGCTTTGGGCTGGCCCCTGTCCCTTCCTGTGTGTCCAGGGGACGTGGGGCTCCACGGGCAGACTGTCTCTGCTCCTGAGGGAGGGATGCAGGTCCCAGCCAGGAGCCGGGCTGCCTGCAGCGGCCAAGGGTCAGGACACCCTGGTCCGGGCTGAGCAGAGTGAGGCACATGCGTCAGCGAGGCAACCAAAGCATCCATCATCGAGATAAATGCCATTTTAATGCAAGAAATTGTGCTTCGAAGGGAACCTACGTGCTCCCAGTTTCTCTTCCGAGTCTGTGGTTCCTCTCGCCAGCACTGACCTCCAGGCCTTATCTGTGGTCACCCTTCTGTAACCTGCAGAGCTGCGTGGACACAGGCTTTCCCAGTAGATGTCAGCTCTGAGCAGTTTCTAGAACTACTCGGGGGCCGGTCTGCGCCACTGATGATGTCCTAAAACTGGGCCTTGTGATCCTGTCCCGTACTCTCCACCCCTCACTGGACCCTCCTCTGGCCCAATCCTGTCCACGATACCTGGAGCCTGGGAGACAGGGGCTTCAAAGCGTGTCCAGCTGGCCGTGTGTGAGTTGGCTCCGGCAGCGAACACAGTAGCTCTGGAGTGGGAGTCTGACCGAGAACAGGGCCAGAGTGACCAGTCCTGATGTGGCCTCTTCCGGGCATCTCCGACTGTGTCCTCCTGGGGGGTGCAGTGAGGGGAATGAGGGGCACCATCTCTTTGTCTTCTCAGAAGGACACTAAACTCTTCTAGGGGCCCCACCCTCATGACCTAACTCCAAACCCCTTCCAAGCCTCACCTGCAAATCCCATCACATTGGGGTTAAGGCTTCGACCTGGATTTGGGCCCACAATTCGGTCTAACATGGGCCAGAGGACAGCCTGGGAGAAGCTGACGGCCCTCCATTCTGGCCTCAGGTTGCCGGCAGTTGGCCCCCAGGAAGAAGGAGGCTCAGCAATGGGGTGAGGCCCTGTGCTGCTCTGCTTCTCGCTTCTGCAGGAAAGGCCAGCAGGTGTGCTGGGACGGGGCCAGCTCGGGGAGGAGTGGGAGAAGCCCTGAGTATGGGGGTCAGACTCCCCGTGGGCAGGAGCAGGTCAGCCAGTTTGCACAGGCCCATGGTACCTGCCCACCCTCCCCGCTGAGGTCACAGCCTCTGACCACCCACCGGGTGGTGGTGAAGGTCTGGGTGGGCCCAGCTGACCCACCCCTGCCCCACCCCTGCCCCTGGGAGGAAAGGCGTGGGAAGGAGATACAGAAGCCCTTTGTGAGCATCCCAAAGAGCAGAACTGACCCGCCCAGGGGAGAGAAGGCTCTGTCTCCACGTCCAGCACCTGCACCCACGCTGGGCGGCCCTCCCCGTTCCCAGCACAGTAACTTTCGTAAAGAAAGTCCCTCCAGACATCAGCGCCCCCTCTGGAAAGGCCCCGGCTGCTGTGTGGGCGAGATCCCCCAGCATGCTGGCAGCGAGCCCGGGCTCCTGTCACAGAAGGCTGCCCTGGAACAGAAGTGCTAGGAAGCCCTGGGCAGAGAAAGGGAATGGATTTCACATCACCATGACACACCCCTTTCCAGAACACCCCCCACTCCCGCCCCACTGGCCCTCCCTGCCCTGACGTTCACCACAGACAGGATCCGGGGAGCCACATCACAGGCAGCAGGTGTGCCCTGCGTTCTACCCATTGTCTCCTGGACTTGGCAGAGCAGGAGGACTCCAGGCCCCTTTCTGGGCACACAGGCAGGCAGGCATGCCTGGGGAGCACCCCTTCTCCCCGTCCCTGCACCCCCAGGCTCACCAGTAGGCATGGTGTCCCTGAAGGAGCTAGGAGAAGCGTGAATGCACAACGTGGTAAAGAAAACGGCAATGAGATCCGTGGCCGTGGCTGTCAGGAGAGCCCAGCCTGGCCGTGGCTCCATGATAACTCCTCCTGGTGTGGCAAGAGGCTTGGGGATCCATTCTGGTCCGGGCACACACCTAGGCCCGGGTTCCCTCCCCACAGGCACGCACAGGAGGCACCTGTGGATCGATCTCCCTCTCTCTCTCTCTCTCTCTCTCTCTCTCTCTCTCTCTCTCTCTCTCATTGGCCACGTCCTTAGGTGAGGATAAAAGGACAGCCCCCAGAGGCCCACTGGTGGGCAGGCGGAGATTTCAGTTGGTTATGAAGAAGTGGGTGTTTCCCTGAACACACACACAGTCTCCACTCAGCTTCTGGCCAATGTATCACCTGTTAGTTACTTAGACACTAGAACGGAGAGAAGGAATACGGGGGCAGAGATCTGGTTTTCCGGTAACCAAGCCCGTGCTCCTGCCCACAGGGAAGGAGGCCCATGGTACGCTCAGCAGGTCCCTGGCACCCCCGCCCCTCCTGTGCCCAGCCCTCTCTGTGCCTGGAACCACCCCACCCGCACCCCGCCCCCTGCCAAGGTCAGGCCAGGCCCACGACAGAAGGATGGGCACTCCTGAGCCCCCAGTAGAGCTGCAGGATGAAAGCTATTGGCAGGGAGTCCTATACCTGGGTCCCTCGAGGCCCTAGCTCCCACCGCTCAGGACTTCCCACCCTCCAGACCCACCCTGTCTCCGAGCTCCTGGGCACAGCAGGGTCCAGGGTCCAAGTGCCAATAGCCAACTTTGTAAACGGCCTCCATCCTGTGGAAGCTCCACACCTGCTGCCATGCTTGGCCACCCAGGCCAGTGCCCTTCGCTCCCTCCGCTGGCCTCTTGGCCGTGAAGATGCT